TATATATATATATATATAGCCATTACAGGTGCTTTTTGACCGTATAGTAGTAGCACTAAGGTCTGATGAAAAATTCTACGAATATTTTTAGAAAAAAATTGATTTATTTAAATAATCCGCTAGTTACCTCTTCGATGCTTTCAGCAAGTTCAATTTCTCTCATTGACCAAGATGAAATAGATGAGGACATATCTGTAAGTTTCAGAACTATATCTACTTCACCGAGAGTAAAGAGGAGATTGACAATTCAAATTACTCTTATTTGTAGACCAACTGCATAGGAAGAGTCTTCAACCCATGCATCTGCACGGCTCAGAATGAGAAAAAACCATGTACTGCACATTTCTAATAAAGCTTTATTTGCTTTTTTCCTATAACGCTCAAAAAACTTAGAAAACTCCGAAAATTGAAACGCTTCCTTAAAGCATCACCTCTAGGGACATTGTGCAAAAGCACGTTCAATAACTATTTAGTCCTTCCAACCTGTTAAATTTTAGTTCAAGACACCGTGCCACAGAAAGCGTCTTTCATCTTGATACTGATCATTAAGTACAGTGAAACTTCAGTAAGTGCCAATATTTAATGAATGAAATAATATTTATATTCGCATAAGTTTTATTTATTTATATCAAATGACAGGCGTCTTAGTTGTGGGGAGATATATTTATATCAAATGGCAGGCATTTTGATTTCTAAGAGTATTTATTTATATCAAATGGCAGGCGGTTTGATGTTGACTTCAGACTTCACAGAGGAGAAGGAACATCAAATTGAAAAAATCGAAAGGGGGGGGACAGAATAGTGTTTCAAAGATGTAAGAGACAAACACAAAGGTAGAAAAAGGTAAGAAGAGTACTGTGGAAAATAGTCGAATATGGCATAGAGTGAGGTGGTGGTAGTTTGAAGTGAGAAGTCAACTGCCAATTAATGGACTTATTTGCCGTATGAATATACGTTGCCCAGGGTGCATCACACCCCTGCTATTGAAAATAAATAAGGAAAATTTATGAATAATAAGCTGTTCAAGAAAAATTAATGAATTTTCAGGAAAGTGAAACAAATATTTATTTCCTTTGTCTTGAGAAGACTTTTGCTGAAATTTTGGGAAAAAGTTGGTAGCACGTAACGACCAGGATATGATTTAATTACAATATTATTAAGGTTATAAATAAAGTTATGCGAGGGTTCCACAATGAATCTGGCTATATCTATGTCGCTCCTAGCTGGTTGATCCAACCACGCAACCCTATTCGACAATTGGCTCTTTAAGAATAGGTTTCGTTTACTTTTACGTTGAAGACGAGTATATCCATTTATTTATTTTAATTAATAAAATTTTAAGAAATTTATTATTCGAAATTAATTGAATAAATTAAATCAGTGACTCAACAGCAACCACTTACTAAATTTAAATAATTTTGATAAAGTCAATATTTATCTCGATTACCAAGACATTTAGAAAGCTTATTTAATTGAAGAAGATAATTGGATCCGAATTTGTTTATCTAGATGAATAATTTCTTACCTAACCAATTTTTAACTTACTCTTAAGATAAAAGATGTGAATACTTACGCTATGATGATATGATTTTGCTATCAAAAGGTTTTAAATACTCTAACTTGCCTTAATGGTAGGCTTTGCAATCCAAAAGGCCTGCAATTTAACACAGTTTGCGAATAATTAACAATTAATTGTTTATTCAACTTTTATTGATTAAATATCAGTATATAAAACCAACACAATTGTGTCTTCATTTAATGTTGACGTGTCAAGGATGACTAACGAAACAGAGCCAGGGCAGGGCTATTTCATCTACTGCTGATCCACTTCTGTTGATGATAAATTGACAAGCACTAACAACACCGATTTTGTTTCTAACAGCAGTTGATAACTAAATTTCATTTCAAATTCCCCTTCTCTTCCAATGGCTGGAAATACGTGATTTCACTAATTTCCATTTAATGGAAAAGAATTGAAAGTTTGCCCGTTTCTTCTTTACATTCTCTGACATTTTAAAGATTTACATAGCTACCCTAATCAGTGGAATATGTCTTTCTGCATCCAACAGCAGCAAATACTCTCCACAATGTACGTTCTCAATAGTACTATTCTTTATTTGAGTTAAAACTCCAATCAATGAATATTCACCTCAACAAAGATTTTAAAGACAATGCCAATGTGCAAACTCCATTAACATTTGAAATAAATTAAGCAGAAATGAGTAAGTAAATTTCAATTTAAAAGATAATTTAAAGAAATTGATGAAGAATTTCAATAAAATATACAAATTGTACCTTGTTGACGGAAATTGTCTTATATTTAAGGCTGTGTTATTAGCCTAGGTCATTACATTTAAACACATTTACTCAACAGACAAATTGTAATTTACTTAAAAATTCTGTCAATTGCATTTATCTTCAGTAAAAATTTAATTTATCTTATTTTATTTATTTTGGTAGGAAAGTGAGTACTTAGAATGTTGAAATTTCTCACTTTTCTCGAGTTTGAAAGCTATCAAAATTGTGTGGGAACTAAGTGGACTGACAGATCAAATTTGAGCAAATATTTCTTTGTCAATTAAAATTAAGTAAATAGTGGTACAAAATTACTATTTCAACCAGATTTATATGCAGCAAATAAATTATTTCAATTATAAGATAAATTAGATAATTAGATAATTAGATAAACAAATCGCTTAATTATTGCAGTTGCAAAATCTCAAGAAATGAAAGGAATTAAGAAATAGTCCATGTATTTTCATTTAATCCACATTCGGAACAAACCGAGATTTTGATTTGAAACACACAACCTGGGCATTCAGCAGAAGACCGATTTACTACTTAAAAGAACTGTGTTCTCAAGAAATCATGGCATTTGAAGTATACTTTTGGAGTTCTAGCAGTAGCTAAGAGAGGCTTACTTAATTATTTCATACACCTTTTGAGTCATAAAGCCCCAAATATAATTTGTGAAAATTCGAAAAAATTAAGTTGCTCCATGCTTGTGAGAACGATATCTTGTTCGGTCTATCTGCCACTAGATGTTGGTGGACTAACTTTTAAGACAAAAAATGTATTTATTCCTGTAAATTTTCATTGGTTTTGGAAGATCAAAAAATACCAATTATATTTACTTTTATTTTAAAAATTGTAAGAGGTAGTGGACATGAAAACGCTGATAGCAGCGCTTGGCGGATAAAAATGGAGCAGTTAGAAACATGTATTCTGAGGCCAAATAACAACATCACTAGTTTGAGCTTTGTTTATTCGGGCACAGTAAATTAGGAGCCTCTAAATTGCCTCTTTTGGGGATTCTGCATACCCGTCTGCTGTCTTCCAATGCCACTTTCATTATGACTGATTGCAAAGATCCTAATCACATGCCACATCGCCAGTTCATTATAACGGTATCATTCTAAACACTGATGGCATCAAATACAGGTTCAAAATCATTGGTAAGAATGGAAGCCTCCAAATAAAATCCTACCTTATAGGCCTAGAAAACCTACCATATTCGGCTATCCTTTTTTCGCAAATGGTGCAAATTACTTTGATTTAATGCAGTCTATTACTTGTTGATTTCTAGCAACCTATCCACCTTTTAAATGGAAAGCTCTTTTTAATGACCGTAGTTTAGCAACTTCACATCTACACTAGTAATTTTTATTCTTTTAAAAGGTAAATAAGATTCATTTCTGGTGAATTTTATACTAAAAGTAACGATTTTGCGGAGAAATCAATTTACATAATTCATTTAGCGAACTAATGAAAGTATGGTTTTTGACGTTATCGTCTAAATTGGAATGCAGTTTTTTTAAACTAAAATATTACTTGCCTCCTTTAAAAGGATGGATTCGAGATAATCCGTAATTGCTCAACGATTGTCTTCCTTTGCTTATACTCTTCATGCCAAAATTGGAAAAGTCTCAATAATCTTCAAATTGGGCTAATTCATATGTCATGGGGATATTTTATTGATTAAGTCATCTATGACGCACACACACGCGTTAAATATTTTCACCTATCTATCAACTACAAACTTACATATTCTAGATTTCATGATTCAAATCTTCCACCACAACCACTGAAGCCCGGTCATTTTTTCAAAGAAATGTTTGTGAAAGCAAACTTTCACAACAGCTAGTCTAGACTTCCCTATCTTACTTCCCCCAAGGTAAATATATTCTCATACGTAAGTACAATCACGTGAATTCCACTACCTTCAAAGCCGGGTTTTTTCTAATAGATATAAATATTCATTTCAAATGGCAGGCCCTTTGGTAGTTATCATTAGCCCTTTATCAAATGGCAGGCCCTTTGGTAGTTATCATTAGCCCTTTAGCTGACTTCGGGCTTCACAGGGGAAGGAACATCAAAGTAACTGAAATTCGAGAGGTGGGGAACAGAAGAATGATTCATAGATGTAAAAAAGACAAACAGATGCAAAAGCAGAGAAAAAGCAAAGATGAGTACTGTGGAAGTGGTCGAATATGATATACAGTGGGAACATGGTAGTTTGAGTCTGAAGTCAACTGCCGGTTAATAGACTTTTTTGCCGTATGCGTATACGTTGCCCAGGGTGCACCATGTGGAGGTAAGTTTATCGCACACCCCAAAGATATATGAATATATATATATATATATATATATATATATATTTACACTTATTTAGGTCAACTTCAGAACAAACCAGTTGGAGCACTTAATAAAAAAGGAAAGATAGGTATTAGGTGTTTTATTTACATATAAATCGGAACAAAATACAAGAACTTCGTGGTGAAAGGTGGCTAACTCTAGGTGAATATATAATTTAACTACAAAATAGGTTGGGTGATTTCCGAAGGCATCAATGTAGCCTAAAATATGTGAAAAATTCGTAAAAGAAAAATGCGTAATTATCTTAAAAGTTAAGTTTAAAAATAGGTCTTACCTCACGACACTGTAGACTAAAAGTAAAAAAAAAGTTGGAAATTGAACATTGCAAGTGGTTTAGGTAAAAATAAACAATTAAATGAGGAAAACATTTTTATATAAGACGCTCTCAAATAATTTCACAAATTTTTTAGCTGCAATCTTAAAAAGTCTCCTACTTGACAGAAATTTGACAAAATAAGTAGTCCAATTTCGAAAGTTAATATTTCATCATATATTATAAAAACAAAGTCTTGGAGACCTCGGAAAGATCAGAATTCTCCCGAGGTTACTAAGGTGAATTTGATGCTTCTTAACATTTTTAATTCTTTGATATATATATGTATCTATTTGACTATTTGTTCAGATTAAATTTACCTGGCATTGATCATATCAACAGCAGAATCAACAGCCTTCGGCGATCCGGTAATGGTAATTAGGCGTGAGCGGTGATGTTGCTGGAGCGAATTCTCGTCATTTGAAATATGGATAGTTGCTTGGGAGACCTGTAGGGGGTGAAAAGACCCTTAATTGGTGATAGGTTGATTGCAAATAAATTTAAATATTTTTACAGCCACCTCCACCTCCCTTCCCACCCCCTTCCCCAATTCCGGCTCCATATGAGAAACCACTGAAACGTGGCTTTTCCGTAAAAAATAAACCTTTATTGAAATTTTGGGAAAAGTCAACAGAGAAAGATTCACACTTCAGTAATTAGCAAAAAAGGTAAAAGTCCCTGTTAAAAGATGTGGTAAGTTAAGTTCAGTGGATTACCCATTGTTATGCGACTTAAAAATTTGCTATTGAATGTCTTAAAATCCGCTTATTCCATGAATTTATTATTCACATTTTTATGATATGCCACTTCTATATATATATATATAAAAGAATCAATTTGGTTTTACTTCCTCTTTTATCCCACACAAAATCTGATTCCGTTCTGTTTGCGCTAAGATCATTTTAAAATGCCTTAATTCACTTAATTTAATTCTCACGCAAATTCTATTGAGCATTAAAAAACAAAAGCGAAAATCCCTCATTAATCTCCCTTATTGTTTGAGCCTGAAAAGAGAATTTTCAATTGTGCGGGAGGAGGATATGGGTGGCGTAAAGTTTCACCTTGCGAATTTCATTTATCTTCATTCCACCTCGTCCAATAACGCAGCCAATAAGATCGTTAGCAATGAGCAATTCCCGTCTCACCACATCCTCTGCAAAATGAGATGCAACCAGGAGAATATTGCTGATAAGAGAAGCCGGACAGAAGCAGTTGGCGGAAAGCGCAACCGATGGATGCGGCTGAGCCATCGGGGAGAGTTGAGAAGTTGTAGGTGGACTTATGGCCGAGGATGTCAATAATGGGCGTACTTGAGGTCCACTGTTCAGTTGAGCTGTTTTTAAAACAAAGGACGTCTAGTAAAATAATTGAAAACGTTTCATAATTATTGGTTAATTGGTTAAAAGAACTAACAAATAGCAAATATCTCGGGAAATGAATTATTCCTATGGACTTCAATTCATTAACCAACTAAATGCTATGTATCACATTTAACCAGAAAGCACCTTATTTATACAATGCGTTTTAGTACATTGGAAGTATTTGAACAATGAACATTTTTTATTAATTTTTTTCTTCATCTACTATAAAACGGACTTAACTCTGTTCCATTTTTTGACTTCTTTAAGTCCTTAGAATTTCATTTACGTCATGTGGTTTCATCAAGACACAATTTCCTTTTGATATCTAGGATACGCTTTTCTCAGTAACTCTCCAAACCTTGTCTAGCAATTCCATGCCTTCATACGATTAAGTTTTATGAAGCATAGGAATAAAGATTTACTTGGTTTCAATCTCCTTATTTTGATGAATGATTGATTCTGAACATCTCTCAGAGCCCCGTTTTAACACATATCCGTTTTCGCATAACCGAAATTAAGGTTGATATTCTGTATAGTTTTCATACTACTAAAAATTCGTGTTTTTGAATGCGATATTTAAAAGGTTCATTCTTGGTTTCTTATTGGTGCATGTCTAATGGTCTGACCAAGAGATTCACTAATAACTACTTTTATCTAATGACGAGGCACTTCCCAAGGGAAACGGCAAAAAATCGATGTTAAAAACTGACATGCTTGTGTGTAAATAACAAGTAATACTAACAACACAAGTAACAAGTCAGTGTCAGATCTTGAAAAGATTTTCATTTACAATAAAAAGAACTCAAATATTCGTTGAAAAATTTCCTTTCATTCTTATATGGCAAAATAAATACTCTGGAAATAATAAACTATAGAAATTTAGTGTATTTAGCATAGAAACTGTCATATTTTCGTATTTTTCCTTTTCCATGGATTACGATAAAATGGTTCTTTTATAAAGCCTAGTCACGTATTTTATAGATCAATTAATTCATATTATGCCAATGGCTCCTTACCATGACTTGGCAAGATGTCATTTAGTACTTTCCGATTCTAAAAATAACAAAAAGGCATATATTAATAAATAGCTTAGCTTACAATTAAAATGTCATAAAATTTTATTGAATTTCTATTAGGGATGCACTTTTGAGCGTAAAAATTTATTCACTGAGTCACAAATTTATAGTTTCAATTTGATTTTTTTTAAATTCGATCATATTTAATTGTCCATACCAATAATAGACCGTTTCGGATTTATTTGGCACTTAAATTATAATAAATTAAAATTGCAATCATGACCAAATAAAATCATGGGACAAAATTCCAGTGAATTCTATAAAATCGGTTTTCGTGATTACTTTTCTGTTTTGGTATTCAGACAACTCGCAATGCGATAATTACTAGTTAATCAATAGAAATGAAAAATTGAGAATTTTTTTCAAAAACAATGTTCTGTAGCTCAATGAAAAAGACCGAGCTTTTATAATTTTGAGTTCGAAAAAATCAAATATTTTCCCCGATTGCCTCAAACAACGATCAGCTCAGAGGAATTTTATTCAGATACATTAAATTTATGAAACATTAATTTTGCACATTTATGAGAGAGTTGGCAAGCAAAGGATAATTAGATTCAGCTTTTAATTCAAATTAGGCCACCAAGGTATATATTTTCATTATTTACTAGCAGTATTTTCACCTAATTCAATAGATTTATTTATTTTTCGTTTCTATATTTCATATTTTAATTTTAGTTTCAGGCAAGTAAAATACTCTTGCACTAATTTCCCCATAAATCACGGCAAATAAAAAAAGACTAACGTGATCAATTTTAAATGATGCCGTTTAATTGCCACCACCATAAAATATTAAATAATGGCAAAACTGTTGAGAATCATGAAATTTTGTTCTGCTGTAGTTTACGCAAGTGCAGACTAAGGTCAAATCAAATGAAATTAAAAACATGCTCAAAGAATTTTCTGATAAAATGCATCTAATTAACTTTTCCATTAACGGGTTAAATGACCTTCTTACTATAACCGAAAATTATTATAAATCTGAAAAAATTACTGAAATCAAAGTTGTCAATGACGGCAGCGGGTTTTAAAAGCTTGTTTTACTGAAAAGTTGTTCACAATTTAAAGGACGAATCGACAATCGATTCTACTTAACCAATAACCTACGTTAGATTTCCATCGTCGATCTCGGAATAGCCAGGGCTTAGACAACACTGATGTTGCGAATTTCATATTCCATGGAAATGATAAAGGCACTTTGGAATACAAACGCGAGGGATTAAAGGGCTCTGTTGCAGGAATATAGGGTATTTCATGGGATTGATTTTTCACCTAGAACAGAGATATAGGCTTGTGAATCACATTTGTATGGACAAATTTTTGAAATATTCCAAGGCGTATAAAATTGAGAAATATCAAAATATTCCAGTAATGGGTGCTTCATAATTTTTTTCCAAATATTACTATCATCCAAATTAAGAAAGACATTGTAACCGAAAAATATCAACAATATTCCCATCAATGACTAAGCAAATCGGATTTTAGAGGCAACAATAGTACTGCAAAAATGACAAAGTGTCGTGCACCATCCGATTTCTTTTGTTAGGGTTGTGAAACAATTAGTTACTGGGCATTTTATGGCTTACAAGTCGGAATTTTCGATGTGTTCTTGAAGTTGGGCAAATATTCGTCCACATAAATTCACTTTTGTTTCCCGAGATAGGAAAAAATGAATGTTCCCACATCATCTTCTATAGTTCATGGTCCAAAAATGACATAGGGGCGATCAAATTAAAGCTATTTCAGCTTTAGAAGTCGGATTAATTTATAATCGATTCTGCCGGTAGATATCTATTAAATTTATCAAGGTTTTTGTATTCGTGAGCTATTGGTCATTTGAGCAATACTCAAATCGTATTGACTAGTACATATATATTGAATGAAAAGGCTGACCGCGGTAAATCGACACATTTCATTTTTTACAATTTCATTAGACCATTGTATTATGACAGTAATTATAGTGCAGCTCGGGGGGTAAAGTACACTATACTAACAAATTGTCTTCTACAACTGTCACGAAAGACCACTGACCAAGAGTCAACAAAGAAGAAGGTGAAAATTTTCCGTCCCAAGAGGCTACGGGAAAAAATAACACGCCAATTTCCGTAACTGCTAGCGGTCAAGCAGTTCTTACGACTTCTTCTTCATTTTGCAAGGCTACCAGTTAGTTGTCTGTGCGTTCGTCGAGGCTTTTTATTCTGAGATGCGTGTAACCAAAACAGACAATTGTCATTTTTGCGTTCTTTAATTTACTCCAAGTTTAACTCACCTCACCCAGGAGTGCACAAATCATCTCAAGGCAGGCAGTAATGGAGGTGACAGTACCATAGATAAAGAGTATCCTCTCAGTGGAATTTGGAAGCTTCTGACGAGTAATTTTTACCAAGGAGCCCGTAATCTAGAAAAAAATTTAGCTTTAATCTTGGAATTTAATCTTATAAAAAATATTTCAGATTGTGCTGACAAATTTTGAAACCCAAGTATTTATGAGATTCTAATTAGTTACGAAGCTGTTCAAAGTTAAATTTCACAAATAGGCGATAGAACTGAAGTTCAGTCCATGGTGGAAAGTTCGATATTTTTCAAAATGAAGTCAACAGAATGCTTAAATTTTCAAAATTGTACTATTGTTCAATATATGTAGATATTTTGAAACTATTAAGTATTTGTTGAATAGCTGATGGCATACACTTATGAATGGTCAAAATTATGGTTAGGGTTAATGATGGTATTTGGAAGGTAAATGAAACTTTATTGTGGAAGTATTGGAAGGCAGAGAAAATATGTATTTTACAATTTTCAGAGGAAGAGAACAGATTAAGAAATTTTTATCTCCAGATTTATTAGATGAAGAGAATTGAGTTCATTTTATAATAACAAAGTAATTTCCATTTTAATAGGGAATAGAATAGCCAGTAACGTAACACTCCAAATTAGTATTAGTGGTAGTGAACGAATTTTTAATTAACTATCGATTGACACACACGTCTTTATCTACTCTGATATGTTTTAAAAATATGAATAATGAAAAAGGGAAGCCGATTTTTACTAATTTTGACACCTGTAAACTGTTGAGAGTACTGTAGTTATTCCTGAGTGAGTGGTATGAAAACGTGGTCAAAAGGTCGGTACTAATATAAACTAAATAGGATGTAAAATGTGAATTTTAAGAGGACATTAAAATGGAAATTAAATTTCACAAATGGTTGGTCTGGGAAAACAAAACTAGTTTCGTATAATTTAGCTTACTATCTATATACACTTTAATTTAATCAAAAAATATTAATGCGAACCTATCGGAGTGATATAATAGGTCTTGTTTGGTCACTGTTTGTATTAAATTTGACTCACCAACTACGTCTTATTTTAATTCTTTAAACCAAGAAAGTGCATGTTATATATATATATATATATATACATCTTAAAGACGGTAATCTAATTGTTGGAGATCACCGAATATGACCTTACCTGTCTAAGTTTGTGGATGCATTCGCCCTGTTGGCCAATTAAGTGGCCACAAAGTGATGCTGGTAGAAGCATACGAAATACAAATTTCGGGATATTTGAAGCGTTTTCCACGTCCACGTAATCCGATGAGACCTGTGGAAGTATATGAATAAAATTGCTTTTAATTTGTGACCTACAAATCTCTGTGACCTCTTCCTCATTGACAACTATTGGGCATTTGACACGCATATAGTGCATTGTCAATGATTTTAATAGTGTCCGTCTTGGAATTTCAATGAATAAAAAATCGCCATTTAGAAGTGAGTATAAATTTAATAACAGATCAATCTCTTTTTTACCCTACTGCCTATGGATGAGGCATGTTTGTGCATAACTAGAGAGCCATAGAAATAATTTGCCATTTTTAGTGTGTTCAAATCCGCACTCAATGTTTATGTATGTGCTGTTTTGTTAATAGTAAGAGAGAAGTTCATGGAAATTTTTAATGCTTCATTTCAGTTAACGCACATGCCTGCCAAGAACAAGAATACAAGAAGGTAAAAAATTTTAGATTTTGACATTACAAGTCACCAAGAAAGAGAAGAACTCGAATTTTGATCAATAGAAAATTTATCCTCAATTATTTTTTTTCAATTTTTCACAAAGCATAATTAATTTTTCTCCAATCGCTAAGTTAAAGTCCTCACTCCGCGTATTGTAAATGAAACTGAAAAGAATTCTCTCAAAAATCGTCCAGTTTTATTATGGGAAGTGAGTAAGGACTTCGCTTTGAATAAATTATAGTTATCTAAAACCCTAAGACCCATTGGACAAAACTGAATTTCTAAATATAGGTAGAAGCGCATATCAGTGCTTCCGGGGTTTAAAGAAAACAGACCCTTCGATTTTCAGAATACTTTTTCTTCTGGTTGCAGCTTGTCGACGATTGTTCGATTTTCTTAAATTGTGGAAATGGTATGAGTGTAATAAAAAGCTCATGAATCAATACTTTCAATCTTCCCATAGATATGCTCAAACAAAACAAAATGCCTATTTTGGCCTGAGGTGTAGAACGCAGAGCAATCGTTGGGTTGACAAATGAATATGCAAGAACATGTTAATTGAATCTTAAACTTACCCAGGCAAATTCACGGCACAATCGTCTGATAACACGCACAACAGCAGCGATAGATCCGGAAATGAAAACGACTCTTTCCTTCACACCCTTGTCCGATATCTTTATTTTTGCTCCACACTATTACAAAATAAGGTGGTGCACAGAGTGAAGGGAATTCAACAAGATAGCACTTAAAATTAACAGAATGGGGAGTGGGGAGGGGGAGGGGGAGGGGGGACGGGTATTTTGTAATGCAACTTGGCGTATGATGTGTAATTAACTTTTGCGGTTTCTTGAATACCAGCTACCTCAATGTAAAACCCTATTTATATACATAATTTTTTAAAAAAATACATACACTGGGCAAGCTTATAATGAGCTCTACAGCAATTCTTTGCTATCTTCCTGCTTAAAACTTGGTTATTATATGATAATTAAATGAAATTTTCCAATCAAATAATTGAAATGATTAGATTTTCAATTCGCAACAGATACATTAACACAAAGTCAAGTTCACCATGTACAATTCTAATTAATCGTGTCCCTCTTCACTAATTAAGCGGGATAACAAAAGTTTTAATTCCCCCTAACAAAACCTCTTTTTTAAAAAAATTGATAAAGGCGTTGTGTGGAGTTTAACAGCATAAGAATTTAAATAGTTTTTTGGTATTTATTTCTTTTATTGTTTTCCACTTTTCTTAATTAATCCTCTTTACCGCTTTTAAAGCAAATTCTGTCAGGAAACAAATGAATCCGTTAGTTATTTAAAATATTCTTTTTTTAAGGATGCATTTCATTTATTTTTCCTTTATGCGAATCTTATTAGAGCATTTTGGACAAACTCAATAGAAGTTAAAGTCTTTTTTTTAAGGCCTCTTCATTATTGGAAGGTGACGTGTTCCAAAAGGTTGACGAGACTATCTATAAGTTATTACTGAGTGACATTAAAATTCAACGCCAATACAAAATTGTTTCATTTTGAATAGAGTTTCAACTAATGCTTACTCTCTTCCGAAGAAAACTGATTGTTTCACCATTCTAAAAATGCGATTTTGTAACACCCTATAATATCCATTACCTTTCCGATTAAGCACCCAGCTTCCTGAAATATTAACAGAACAATTTTAATATCCATAAAAAAGAGCATTTTTTCTTGTACAAACAACTCACGCGTCTCGACATAAGAAATCGTAGGGAGACGCTTTTATCTGGGTCATAATTCCATCTACTGTTCGAATTTTCGACTAGATCCTCCTGTTTAATTTTCCGACTAATACTCGCCAATGGCAAGACCGCTTCACAATCGACGCCAGATGGGCACATCTTTTGTGCGTACGTCTGCTTTTGTGTTTCTGCACTGCACCAAAAAAAGTCACTTTGTATGTTAAGTAATTTGACTGCAAAGCGTGAACCCTCTGATTGGTTAGCTGTTATCCAATGCCGAAGCCAAGCTTTCGATTTATCACTTGTTAGTCTCCTTGTATGTCATTGGTCAACTCTTAACCAATTGTATCACGTTAATCAGAGCGAAGTAATTGGTGCATATGCGGGACAAGTTGTTTACGAAGCGACTATTAAAAGCTTCAATAAGTTTTTTTGTTGAAACGAAAGATAATTTAGCATAATAACCAAATTGCGTGGAGATAATTAAAGCCCTGTTTTGAACAAAATATTCGGGTTTCGCTTTTCAAGTAAAAATCTCATCTTCCTAATAATATCAATAGGGAAGTTTTGATTCGTTTGCATAATGAAAAAAAGAGAATTCATTTAATTTAATTTATAATAAACTCAGAATTTAATGAATATACATTCACACAGAAATTATGGGTTGCATCAGACCGGGAAATGAATAATTGCAATAACAATTCGAACTATTTGGACAAACCGATTCTGACACGACACTAATTTTTTTTAGTAATTGTCAGCTTCTCAAATTGAAACTAGTAAACTTAATAAATCGTATTTTGTCTCAATACATTTTTACCTTTAACTACACGTTTGCTGTCAAGATTTAATATAAATCTCATGCTAACATTTAGTCAAATGAACTCGAAAAATTACTTAAAAGCCAAAAAAATTTGAAAACCAATTTTGGGATAGCACAACTTTTTTTGCATGGCGATTAAATTGCAAATCGATTATTCTGATTCCTAATGAACCTCACAGGCTACTTCTGAAATTAATCATCAGTTGAACAAGAAGTTCGTAAAAGATATAGCAGTACTTTTTTTCAAAAAAATAATAATTTTGAATAATTTAAATAAATAATTTCTAACGAAATTGGCTTCTTCTGTTTGATTTCATTTTTGTTTTTGATGTTCTTACAATCTCATTAAAGTCAGCTGCACATGTTTAGCTAAACCGAACCGTTCATTTCAAATAAAGTAATCGCGGTGGAAATTTTCACTGAACTAATTAAAGTAAAACTATGGCAGAGATACAATTTAGATTAGTAAATATGAAAAATTAAGGTAGTGCTAAATACTTTCCAATTTTGTGTGGAATTTGTGTCACGATAAATTTTCATTTACCCTTACAGAGATTGAATTTGGTGATCAAATTACCTCTAAAATAAATGCTTCAAAGAACTTTTAAATGTTCGAAATCTTGGTGAGCGGCAAAGTTAAGATAAATTAATTAGGGTGTGCCGGTGGTATCGCCCAACTTTTATTTCAAGCACACTCGACTTCGTTAAAAGGGTAGTTATCAAGAAAATTTAGCTTCATAAAGCTAAAATGCCAATTATAGAAACGTCTAGAAAATATGAATTCATTTAGTTATTTTGAAACTTATTTCAAATAAGATCACAAAACTGTTGAGTGAAAGGAAAATTTTTGCTGTCTAAATTATATTCTGTTAAATATTATGCAGATGAGAAATTGAAAAGTAATTTTTCCCTTATCCGTTAGGGGAAGTAAATGGCTAAAAGTCACTCTGTGGAGATGATTAAAATTTGAAAATATACCCCCTCCCTCAAACGCATTTTAAATGTTTTTAATGGGGAAAGCGAAATGATCTTCTTGGATGTCAAAATTAAAGTAATTTTAAACGAAACATGTTTTGATGAAGGGAAAATATTAAATAATAAGGAAATATAAAGTGGAATTTTCCATACTCCCAAAAATTTAACAATAGTAAAAGATTAGACGAATTTCAATGAACAAAGAACACTGTCATTAAAAAAGATATTTTTGAATGAAGTTATGTCATACTTGTCTTATGAGCCCAACGGCCACGTTTGAATCACGTCTTTAAAGAAGGTTAGTTAAATGCAATTATTCATTCATTATGCAAGTATCATTAACGGAAATCCCATTCTTTCTGGCTTAATGAAAATATCGATTCGTATTTAATTTAATGCATCAAAGTAAGTTCAAATTTGAGTTATTAACCAGGGTAAATTTTTTGTTTTCACCATTAAGGATTTATTTATTTATTTTAAATGGCAGCCGTTTTGATAGTTATCATTAGTCCATTAGCTGACTTCAGATTTCACAGGGAGGAGGAACATCAAAGTGACAAAAAATCGAGAGATGGGATAAAATAATGATTCACAGATGTAAAAGAGACTGACAGACATAAAAGTAGAGAAAAGGTGGGATGAGTACTGTGGAAGTTGTGGAATATGACATACAGTGGAGTGATGGTAGTTAGAAGCCAGAAGCCAGCTGCCGGTTAATAGACCTTTATGCCGTATGAGTTTACGTTGCCCAGGGTGCTCCACGTGAAGGTAAGTCTATCGCACACCCACTCCCATTAAGGATATAATTGTTCAAGAGGTTCAATAAAAATAATATAATCCTCTAATTGAAATGCGATTTATATACCTATGTGACATTTCAAAAAATATTGTTAATAGGTATTTCCTACAAATAAAATCTGAATCGTCTGGTAGCAAATAAGAAAGAGTGTTAATGTGAAAAATCCCTTTTAAGGGTCATTTTTTTGTTGAAAAACAGTTCTCCAATTTTATAGCGCATTTACCATATTTTGTTAAGTAATGGCTTAATTGAATATAAAGTTATTTTGGTTCGGAGGAAGTGATGCAGACATAGTATGCACTTTATTTAATTTTCTGATTTCTGTTGTAGAATATTCGCTTAGCGTTAAAAACAGTTTAGCTTCACAGTTTGTTCTCAGGAGTAGTGGACAATTTTTCCCTAATGTCCGGTTCCTATTGGCCGGTTGATTACCTATGATGTTCGAAGGTTGAAAAGGTGACTAGTCATTAGCATGTAATTAAATATTTGCCTAGGAGGAAACAGAGACGGGCAAAATCAAAAATAATATATAATAAATTTCGTATTAATTTTGTATTTTATTTTAATTTTAAATTAATTAGATTAATTATTTTTTGGCAAATACTATAGACATAGACATTATTAGCTGAAATTATTCAAAGCTAGGTACTGTGGGACACGTAGGAGAATCCGCGACAGGGACCTCTGAGTCAGCCAGGCTTTACTAATGTAGCAGTCCGCTACAGTACTTTTAGTTCACCAAGATAAATTACCCAAAAACTGAATTTACGCAATTGTGGTACTATGAAAATTGAAACAAGAAGAAATACTCAATTATTTTTAGTTATTTATTTATATCAAATGGCAGGCGTTTAGATAGTTATCATTAACCATTTAGCTGACTTTGGGCTTCACAGAGAGGAGGAGGAGGAACATCAAAGTGGCAAAAGTAGAGAGGGGAGCAGAATAATGATTCATAGATGTAAAAGAGGCAGACAGACAGACAGGCACAAGGCAGGGAAAAGGTAAGGTGAGTACTGTGAAAGGAGTCGAATATGACATGCAGTAGGGTGATGGTAGTTTGAAATCAGAAATCAACTGCCAGTTAATAGACTTTTTGCCGTATGAGTATACGTTGCCTAGGGTGTACTACGTGGAGGTAAGTCTATCGCACACCCCCAATTATTTTTAATTGAATGTGACCATAAAGTTGCCTAGTCCCCAAAATTCAACTGATCTGAAGAGAGATAGCTTAGAATTAACTAAACTTACATCACCATTGTTTCGTTTAGGATTGTGTGTTGAATTTGCTAACTGAACAAATAAAAAATGGATTCTCCAATTGCCTAATTGCCGTAATTTATCAATAGTTTCCGTCTTCTTTGAATAAGAAGGTTAAAAGATTAACTAAGTGAATTGGTTCCGTGGCACTCAGCATTTTATACACTTATGGAATTCACCAGCCTTTCAGTGACAGTCACAATTCAAATGATTTTAAAACGACTATTCGATTCCACCCTTTTATAAAATACTGTGAGTTGATTTTATAACCATTTAGAGCACACTGAGTGCACATTCTAATACCATTTTTTAATTGAGACAAAAATACAAAGAAAATAGCTTTATTTTCTGGGTTCAAAAAGAGGCATTTGTCATATTTATTAATACCGATTGACTAATATCTTGTTAATTACTTTTTCGCGCCTTCAGTTGTCAAAGCAAAAATTTAGGTTATGACAGTTAAATGAAACATTTATGACCCCCATTAGACCCCAATGCAATGTTGGTTAAATGTGCTGCGTTAGTGATTTTCATAAAAGCCAGATGTGCGTACGCTCTCATTTTGTGAATTAACATTTAAAATTGCAATTTTATTATTGTGTATTTTAATCTACTGCACTACAAGTAATTTGCAATGCGACAACCAACATGGGAAAAGGGGCCTTTGAAAATTTTGCCAGATTCTTACTTGCAGTGATTTTTGGTGCATTTTATTGCACCAACATTTCATACTTCATCATTTACAAGTAAAATTATCGAACTTATCAGATGAATATTTTAAAAAACGTACTTAATGTCCTTCTATCAATTATAATAAGGAATGACCACACCAGTCTAGATTTCGAAAACAGCAGAATTTTAGTACTTTGCTCTCTAATTCATGTGGTAATTGTAACATTATTTATTTCATTAAAAAGGGGGTGTATGATAGACTTACCTCCACATGGTGCACCCTGGGCAACGTATACTCATACGGCAAAAAGTCTATTAATCGGCAGTTGACTTTTGACTTCAAACTATCGCAACCCGACTCTATGTCATTTTCAACCACTTTCCCAGTTCTCACCTCACCTTTTCTCTGCCCTTGTGTCTGCTTGACTCTTTCACATCTGGGAATCACTCTTCTGTTCCCTCTCCCCTCTCCACTTTCTGCTACTTTGATGTTCCCCCTCCTCTCTGTGAAGCCCGAAGTCAGATAAAGGGCTAATGATAACTAACAAAACGCCTGGCATTTGAAATAAATAAATTTCATTAAAATATCAATGACAATGTGGTATTGGAAGAAATTTGTGAGGTTAATCT